ATCCCTGGACAAAAATGTAAGTATAGAAATATAAGACCAGCTAAAGAGAGAGAGAGAAAGGGGGGGGAGAAAGGAAGGAAAAGAAAGGAAGAAGAGAGAGAAAAGAAAAGAAAAAAAGAAAAGAAAGAGGGAGGGAGGGAAAGAAAGGGGAAGGGAAGGAAGAAGAGAGAAAGGAAAGAAAGAAAAAATAAAATAAAAGAAAGAGGGTGGGAGGGAAAGAAAGGGGAAAGGAAGGAGGGGAGGGAGAAAGGGGAAAGGAAGGGAAGGGAAGGAAGAAGAGAGAAAGGAAAGAAAGAAAAAGAGAAAGAGGGAAGGAAAGAAAGGAAATGAAAGAGAGAGAGAAAACAAAAGACAGACTCAATGGACTATGAGGCCTTTTCTCTACCATTTCATCTGCTGTCTTCCTATCCTGAATCCTATGCAGTTTGTCCGCAGGGAGGGGAGAAATGCACCCCACAAGTCGAAAGCCTGACCCACAACAAAGAAGAGATCTGGGCTTCTCTGCTCCAAGGACCATCATCCACAGCCCACAGTTTCCACAGCCCAGCCACACTCCGTCGGCAGACCCCAGGCCTCAAAACAACCGAGAGGCCCATTCCGGACGTGAGCCTCATGTGGCACCAACGCCTGGCAGGAAATCAGGTTGGCACCCAGGCGCCCCTCAAGCGCGCCACTCCAGCACCCAAACACTCTACGCTGCTGCCACACAATACGCTCAGCTTTTCAAGAGGGGGGGGGCTCACCTGAGAGGACCAAAGAGGAGCATCACAGCTTCGCTGAACAAAACAGCCCCCCCCTCCTCTAAATCAGCAGGAGGGAAGCATCACCTGCTGGATATTCATCCCCTCGTCATCCTTCGCAAGCCATCAGCTCAGCGCCCCCCCACCCCAAATCACTGCCAGGGGGTGGACAACAACTTCGGGACCTGTGGACTTCGTCTCCCACAATTCCTCAGCTGGCAGGTGGTGGGATTGCTGAGCCCCCCCCCCCCTGGTATATATACCCACGGCTAATTGTGGCCCCATCATCCCCTTCCTCACCAGACAAAAGCCACTCCTTGGAAGCTCAGCCCAGGGCTGGGGAGGGGCTGCTCAGCCCCAGGGAGGGAAGCCCAGACCCCCGGACCATATCCAGAGCCCTTGGGAAACAGCGGCCCCCTCCCCACTTTGGATGAAGAAGCCGAGCAGGGGGGAAGGGGGCTACAGAAGACGGGAGGGGGGACTTGGAGGGAGGTGGGCTGCGGGGGCAGATGGGCAGGGCCCAATCCACCAGCGGCTTCCCTTTGGCCCGGGTGGTAAGGGGTTCTCCAGCCGCCCCCCCCTCCCCTGCCTGCCGCGGCCCCGGAGCGCTCACCCCCGCTTGGGCTCCTCGTCCTTGCCCGGCTTCCAGTCCACCTTGCCGCTCTTCCGGTAGAGCAGGTTCATGTCGCTCCGCAGCCGCCGCAGCTCCTGGGGGTGGCAGCAGGTCTGGCTCAGCGCCCCGTAGCACCAGCAGCCCCGGGCCTCGATGAACTGCAGGAAGACGGAGACCAGGGCTTCCTGGGAACCGGCGTTCATCTTCCGCGGGCGGGCCAAAGGCGGGCCGGGGGCGCCCGGAGGAGGGGGCGCTGCTGCGGGGGGAGAGGNTTTTTAAAAACTTTTAAAGCATTTTTTTTTACTATAGGTTCTCTGGAAACGCAGGGGTGTCTGTGTGTGGGGGGGTGTCCATTGCTGAGAAAGGAAGGAAGGAAGGAAGGAAGGAAGGAAGAAAGGAAGGAAGGAAGGAAGGAAGGAAGAAAGGCAAAAAGAAAGAAAAAGAAGAAAGAAAGGGAGGGAGGGAGGGAGGGAAAAAGGAGAGGAAGGAAGGAGTACAAACCAGGCATTAAGACGCAGCTTCAGAGGATAATCCAAGGGCTGGAAGGCACCTGGAGGTCCTCTAGTCTGACCCTGCTCCAGCAGGACATGGTTAAAGTGTCTTTTGATTCCCCCCAGTTACATGGCTACATAGCCACGCCCACCAAGTCACATGACCCACCCCAAGCCACGCCTCACCAAGCCACACCCTCGGGACCGGCTGGGGGATTCTGGGAGTTGAAGTCCACAGGACTTAAAGTCGCCAAGGTTGAGAAACACTGCCCTGAAGCAACGGGGGGCGGGGGGGGGGGACGACTCATCCAGGAGAGCAGCAAGCTAGAAATAAGGGGAAATGTCCTGACACAGTGGGAAGAGTTAACCAGTGGAACTCCTTGCCACCTGAACCTACGGAGGCTTTTAAGAAAAGACAGGACAGGCACGGGTCTCAAACCGAGTCGGGTTTCCTGCTTGAGCCGGGGGGGCTGGACTAGAAGACCTCCAGTGGCCCTTCCGATCCTGTCGTGCTGGCTGGGTCAGAGGCTGGGGGAGGGGCTGGCCTTCGGGGCTCCCTGGGGAACCTGACCTCTTCCTCCTCCTCCTCCTCCTCCTCCTCCCCCCAGGACCTGGTCAAGAGCCACCTGATGTTCGCTGTGCGGGAGGAGGTGGAAGTCCTGAGGGAGCAGATCAAGGATCTGTCCGAGCGCAACGCAGCCTTAGAGAAGGAAAACAGCCTCCTGCGCTCCCTGGCCAACGCGGAGCAGAGCGGACACTTCCAGGCTCAGCGCCACGAAAACAAGACATCCTCCAGCGGCTCCGCGTGACCCCGGATGGACGGACGGACGGACGGATGGCCAGAGAGGAGCTGCTGCTGCTGACCCGGAGGAGGAGGAGGGCCTGAAACGGGGGGGGGGAGCTCTCCAACGCAGTCCCGCTGATGTGAACTTGCCTTTTTGGGGTGGGGGTCGTGCACACGTGTGTGCGTGTGTGTTTGTGAAACCAGCCTTTGGGGTGGGGGTGGGGGAACTGGGCTACTAACCCACCACGTGCCTTCCGGGGGTGCAACTTAACCCCCCCCCCAGCTCTGAAAGGAGCAGAATAGACTTCCTAGCAGTGAGGAGGGGGGGGGAAACCAGATTGGGGGGACCCCCCCCCTCGCAGGGATTTTCCTCCCCTAACCTGGGGGGGGGAAGGAGTGCTGCACTTGCTTCCCCCCCCCTCATCCGAGACGGAAGTGGGAGGGGACTTGTTTAAGGTACGACGTACACGGTTCGAAATTGTGGGGTGTGGGGGTGTGTGCAGAATGGGGGCCGGAGATTGTGGGGCTGCCAATCCTTTTATATATCCAGGGCCCTTTTGCAGTATTTCAGGTTATTAAAAGTACCTAGCTGTTAAAAGTCGCTCCGTGGTGCCATGGGGGGTGATCTGTGGGCTGGGTGCGGGGGGGGGGGAGTAAAGATGATGCTGGAGGTCCCGGGAAGGGGGGGGGCTTGGCCAGCCTCCGCCTCGCATGGCAGAACGGGAGGCGCAGAGCGAATGCCTCGGTGGAGACCCTCCTCCGCCATCTGGGGTTTTTCCTCTCCTTGCAAAAGCTTTTCCTTCTCTGGGACGAAATGAATAAACCCCCCAGGGAAGGAATTCCAGACGCCCCTTTGGAAAAAGCCCCCGCGGGAGAGAGGCAGGTACNGGCTTCCCCAAGCTGGCGCCCGCTGCATTGCCTGCTCCTGCCCTCCCGGGAGGGGCGCCCGCGGCAAGCGCGCCCCCCGTAATTGTCGTGCCTTGAGCCGGAGGGGAGCGGGCGAGCGGGGCACGGAGGGGGGGGTCGCTGGCTCAACGGGGCCTGGGGGTCGCCTCGAGGACGCTCGGCTGCTGAGATGTCGCCACCAGCGGCCTCGGAGATGCTGGCCGGCCCGCCGAAGCCGAACGGCGGCTTCCCGGCAGCGTTGAGCGAGGCACCGGCTGTCCACGCGGCAATCCGGACGGCCCGGGCACTTGCGGGTCCCAGGAGCCGGGCGAGAACGCCTCGCCCGCCCCGTCGGTCCGGATGGACGGGTCTGGCGGCGGCCGGAGGAAACCTTGCCCGGCTTCGGCCACCGGCCACGGGCGGCGAGGCGTCCCGACCCCCACCTGCCGGCCGAAGGTGGCCCAGCGGCCGCCGGGCGAGCCGCGCCGCCTGCCCGAAGGAAGCGGAGCGGGGCTGCGCTTCGGCCACCAGGGGGCGGCATCGCCCCACCGGAGCCTTGACGTGAAGCTGGGTAGCGTTCCCGGGCGCTCCCGCCGCTTCCACGCGCTGAGGTTTACCGGGGGGGGGGGAACGGGGGGGCGGAGAGAGACGGGGGCCTGGGGACTTATGACCGAGGCAAAGGAGGCGGAGGGATGGGGAGGGAGACCCTCCGGTTGCACCCCGGTCCAGAAGCCCCGGTAACGAGCTGGGAGACCCTCGGGAGGGAAGGGCGACCCCCCAGTCCCCACAACGGGAGAGGGGGGGGGGTCCCTCGGCTGGACCGCTCTCCTCGCCCAGGCTCCGTCCGGGGTGGCGGGCAGAGCCAGGGGGCGCCATCCCAGCGATGCTGAGGCGGCTGGGGGTTCCCGGCCCCCGAGAGGGTCGCCGGCTAGGCGGGACCCCCTCGCGAGGCCGCCTTCTCGGGGGCTTCCCAAGCTGGCAGCCCCCGGGTGAAGGGGCGTCGGGGCGGCTGCTGGCTGAGCCGGCGGCGGAGGGCAGCGCGCCTTGGGCTGGCCCCAGCTGGAAGAGGGGGGGGGCGTCACCCAGTCAGCTGGTTGGGAGGGGGCTGGACTTCCTGGTGCTGGGACTTGTCAACAGCCGAAGCGGGCGAGCGAGCAGCGGCAGAAGGAAGGGAGGCGAGCCAGCTCAAGGCAGCCATCCACCCAGCGCAGCCCCGGCCTCGCCTTTGCCCACGTCGCGAGGGGCGCGCGTGGGGAGGGTCGTCCTGCCTCGGGAGCTAGGGGCGGGGGAGCCGCCGCGGGGTTAGACCGCTCCTGCCCGGTGGTGATCGCAGAGCTCCCAGAGCAGCGCGGGGATGCCCTCCGGCCCAGCCCGGGCATGCCCCCGAGCGGAGCCCACCCCCGACGCCCCCTGAGCCGCACTCCGCGCAGGGATCGAGGGGAAGCGAGGGAGGAGCGGGCGCCCCGCCCCGCCGAGGAACCGGAGCCGCCGCCGCCACTGGAGAAAGTTGCAGCTGGGAGTGAAACAATGCGGGACGCCTGCCAGGCAAATGCCCCTTAAGCTGCTTTTGGCACTGCCCGGGGCGCGCCGACCTCTCGCCAACCCGCAGGAGCCGCCGAGTGCCGGTGTGTGTGGGGGGGGCGAAGGACCCCCGGGGTCTTTGGGGGTCCTGCCCTGTCCTCACCTCAGTCCAGGGGGCAGCCATGGCTGGGGGGCAGCCGCTTCAGCAGCCCTGCTAGCCCTCCCTCCTGCTCTGTTGCCTGGAGAGCTGCTGAGACCCCCTCCCGGCCAGGACCATGAGCGTGGGGAAGAAGAAAAGCGGGTTCCAGATCACCAGCGTCACCTCGGATTACGAGAAGGAGGGCCTGCCCGGAGGAGATGCCAAGGGCCCCTCGGCCAGGCCAGTGGACGAGCCCTACCCGGTGGAAAACGGCAGTCACCATCCCAGTGATAGCGGGGCGCCCAAAAACGGGCCCTTGGCTCCAGGCTCCCCGGGTTCGGCCCCCTCACACCCGGGCTCCCTCGGCAGCGTCTCTGGTTCCCGCTTCCGTGTGGTCAAGCTGGACCATGGCTTGGGAGAGCCGTACAGACGCGGGCGCTGGACTTGCCGGGACTTCTACGAACAGGAGATGGACCACCACCTGGCGGGGCGGCTGGCAGACTCAAACCGGCAGCCTCAGTCCCTGGATTCACGGCTGGAAGTGGCCGGCCTGCTGGCGAAGCCCTCCTCGCCCTTCAGCCCCCAGATGCCACGCCGGGGAGGGCCCTGCCTGCAGTCCCTGCTGGTCCTCCCGGTGCCCACGGCCCCGGCCCACCAGGCCCGCTCTCTGGGGGGTGGCCTGCCTGTCCTCCGCTCCGTGAGGAGCCCCCCCAGCCCGGCCTCTCTCCATAGCGCCCGAGGGGTGGCAGAGACACGGCCCCTGGCGCCGGAGGAAGGGGCCCCAGAGCCCGGAGACCCCCCGCAGCCCGGCAGCATCCCGGTGGTGAGAGTGGAGGAGCATCTGCTGCCCAAAAGTGTCACCCAGCTCATCCCAAGGGAGGCGGAAGAGCGGCACAAGGTGAGGCTGTGGGGGTCTTGGGACCTGTGGAGGGGAGGGGGGGGGTCGCAGCCAACCTCCCCTTCTCCCCAACTGAGGACGGGCACCAAGAGAGGCCAGAGAAGGAGAAACTCTCCTTCACCAACGTCCTCTGGCCTCCGGCTGACCCTGCCTCTATCTTGGATTCCGTTCTTCCCAGAGGTTTGCCCCGGCAGTCACCATCCCAGTGCCCGTCCTTCTAGGGGCAACGCCTCATCCCTGCTGGGCCCATGGAGACAGAGCCCCTCCCCTTGTGCCTGGGGAGGGATGGGCCCCGGGGTGCCAAATCCCTCTGCTGCTCCCAGGGGAGAAGCCCTGGGCCTGCAACCCTCTCCACGGAAGGAACCTGGCAGCCCACCACCCCTGGTGCCAAGGGGACAGAGGGCTGAGAAATGGGCCAAGTTTGGGGCTGAACCTCCAGCAGAAACTCTTCGGTTGTGCTTGGGGGAAGGGAGGGAAAGGGCCCGGGTGCCTTGGGGGTGGGGGGAGGTCCATTCAGGTGCCCTTGGCCAGGAACCGCTGCCCATTTTATGTCACAGCAACATGTTAGTGTCCGAACGGGGTCAGGCTTGGTCCGAAGCTCTTTGGATGCCAGGGGGCACCGTGGCTTGCCCTGCCCTACCCAGTCCTCAGCCTCTTCCCCTGCTTCTCTGTCTATGCAAACAGGCAGCCCCCTCCCCTTAGAGGAGCCCCTCACCCTGTGACGGCTTTCCCCTTCTATGCGGGCCCCACTACAACCCCCGTCCAAAGGGGGCCAGAACAGTAGGCCCCCTTCCCCCCAATTCCTCTCCCTCCCTGCCCCGGAGAGTCCCTCTTGCCCAGGGAGACTCAGCTCTTTCTCCCTCTCTCCCCCCCCCCACAGATTTTGCCCCGGGAGACCCGCTCGCGCCCGTCTTCCCCGGCTCCCCTGCTCTTCCGCGATGCCAGCCCCCACCGGAGGACCTCGGACCCCTTCGGCGTGGCCCGCTTCAACCTGGCCCGGTCGGTGTTTGGCATGGGAGCCTCCCACGACAGCGACGACGACAGGTGGGGGCAGGAGGGGTGGCTGTGAGGCCTGGCACAGCTCGGGACAGCCGTGCCCAGTCTTGTGGGGCGGGGGGGGGGTTGTAACCCCCAGGGTGAAGGGGAGTTTGGGTCTGACCCTCAACAGCTCCCTCTGCCAGGCGCTTGGAGGTCCCTGGTGGGTGAGGCTGGAAAGTGGGGGGTGGGAGCACTCGGGGGGGGGAAAGGTATACTGGTGACACCTCGGAGGGAAGCAGCGGCTTTCTTCTTGCCCCCCCTGGGCACCTGGCTCTCTGCGGGCGCCTGGGGCTGCCCTGGGCACGGGCAGCAACCCTCTCAGTTCCCCTGAACTGAGGCTTGGGCAAGAGGAGGAAATGGGGAAGGAGGGGGCCAGGAGGAAGGAGTGGTTGCCAGCGCTGGGACGGGGAGAGGGGGTGGCACAGCCTTCACCCCCCCCCCTCGGAAGTGGCTCCGGGTGCTGCAACAGCCGGCGGTCAGGCGTGGGGCCAAGCGCTTTCTCTCCCCGAACCATTTCCCTTCTTCGGAGGGGCGTTGCTTCACCTCCTCCGCTCCGGGCGACGCCCTCGGTGGCTTCTCTCTGGCGCAAACAATCGGTGTCCTGGGGGGTGGGGGGCGGAGGGTGATGGGGAGGGAAACGGGAGATGGGGAGGGGAGGGGCGGGTAGAGTTTCAGGATCCGGCCCCCCTTGGGCCGCCTCCCAGGTAGGTGAGGCCGGCGCCCTCTCCAGACCCGCCTGCTGCTATTTCCATCCTGGCGCAGCGGAGTGGGCCAGAGCGGGGGCGGGGGGGGGGGACGACAGAGGAGAGTCTATTTCGAGCCTGACCCACAGCAGCCTTCAGCCAGCCCAGCCCCAGCAGCCTCTCTGGAACTCTCCTGCGCCTGGTTCAGGGCCCAGCAGCCAAGGGAGCCCCCCCCCCCCGCCCCTCCCCTCCCCATCCCCCGTTTCCCTCCCCATCACCCTCCGCCCCCCACCCCCCAGGACACCGATTGTTTGCGCCAGAGAGAAGCCACCGAGGGCGTCGCCCGGAGCGG